AGTGGTCTGTGCGTGGGATTTATAACTCACTCAGCCGCTCCCTTGCCGGTAAACGTTCCGGTTACTTTAGTTTTTGCAACACTGCCATAGTACACATTATGTGTACGTGTATACTTACAATCAGCTGATTTTATTTCTCCAGGATATCATCTGAAAACACAGGAGACTTTCTGATGTAAAAAGTATATTCTTAATTTTAATAGAAACATATTTTCAGGTACTAAAGCAATATCATAGAAGGCAAAAAAGGACAGGATAAAGTAATAATGAATTCTCAGAGTGGCCCACGGAATTGACTGCTTTTGAGAGAGCAGCGATTCTTGGTTTGTCCCCCAGATTTCAAATGCCAGTGACCTGTATCCCAATTCCTCATTGCGGAGTTGCAGTGCGGCATAGAGAGGAATCGACAGTAGCAATAACAACAAGCGTTTGAGAGGATATGAGGAAATTAGAGTCCTTACCTGCTGGAGAGAATGTACAGTTCTCACTGCAAAAAACAGTCTGGTCCTTCCTCGGAAGGTTGAACCCAGACTTACTATCTGACTCAGCAACGCCTCTCATAGGGACATGTAAGAGAGAAATGAAAGCAGCCGCCTACATAAAAATTGGTACGTGACTTTGTTACAGCCCAGAGTGGGACCAACTCAGATGCCCATTAACCGATGGATGGATGAGTTGTGTCCCACCCACACAACGGAATATTATTCAACTGTAAAAATGACAGAGGTGCTGATACACGCCACTGCAGTTGGGTAAAGCTCGAAGACACTGGGCAAAGTATAAGGAGCCGGTCACAGAAATCCGCACATTATAGAGGGTCTTTTATTTGAAATATTCCACACAGGTAAACCTACAGAGACATAGAGTAAAGTGGTGGTTGTCTGGGGCCGGGGAGAGAGGGAGAGTTCGAGGGGAAATGGGAGGTGGCTGATTGTTGGTACGAGGTCACCTTGGGGGTGATAAAAACGTTCTGCATTTGATTGTGGTGGTGGCTGCATGCTACAATGAATGTACTAAAAACCATTCAGCTGTACACTCAAATGAGTGTATTGTATGCTCTGTGAGTTATACCTCAATAAAGATGTTTAAAAAAAAACAAAAAAAAGAAAAGAAAAATAAACAAGAGAAAGAGAGAGACGAGCAAACTCTAGACGTTAGAATAGCCTACACCCAGGAGGGGAAGAGTACCGTGAGCTTGTATACGGGACCTCTCCCCTGTGCTGTGTGGGGTCACCGGTGTGACTCCGCAGCTGGTCTGTCGTGCAGGGTCGCCATGCTGCCTTGCACCGTTGAAAACTCCCACCCTACTCGGAATAAGCTATAGACACACATGAGAAAAAGACCAAGTAACACTCATTTTCCCAACCCCTTTCTTCTGTTAAAGGGGTAGCTGTGCTATCTGCCACATTCACTGGAAGTATTTATTCTTATATGGTCTTTTCCATTTGGTCACACACCCTCACTTATTTTTTTAAAATGTGAACTTTTTTCATGACACAGCCTTCCTAGGTTGTGTGAATTCCATTTTTTTCTTTTATATATTTTCACTTATGAGTGTCATGAAACTAAAATGCCTAATCTCATCCAAGCTAATCTTGCCTTTTAATCACACTGAATGTCGTCCTCAGGTATGCTTGATTTTTGCTGCGATTTATTGTTTTGGTCCTGTTTCAAATTATAATGGGAAACTGCTGTTGGCCCAGCTGATCGAGGGTACCAAAAGGCAACATGCAGGAGACGAGTCCTGATTTCTCCAGTCTCAGGCAAGCAGGCTTCATGTAAAGATTCCAAAAGGCAAAAGGGAATGTACGGAGATGGTGTTAGAAGCGTTGCAAAGAACACAATTGGAGGACACCATGGAAAATAAGAATAATATACCCTTATCTGTTTGTTACTTGAAGCCAAAGCTGACTAAGGCAAGACGGTCAAGATTTTAGTCCCAATCCAGATGCATCTTTGCTGCCAGTTTCTGCCTTGCTCTTCCCACTTTACAACGCCTTAAAGTGCCCCCCTCGACGACCTCACCCACCCTTCCGGGCCCATGACACCTCAGCCAGCTGTATCCGCCTCTCAAACCTGCCTGTGTTTCCCACAAGGATGGCCTGCCTTGCCACACTCTGCTGGGGTGTGGGAAATAATCTAATAGGCTAATTTATTCTAGTGTAATAGCTAATCTCCTCAAGGGTTTTTGCGTGAAAACTAGAGATCGAACAAGCAAGAATCTACAACCAAATAGACAGGAGACAACAGCAGGATTGGAAGCACTGAGGCAGTCTGGGGTGGAGAGATTTGTTGGTGTGGTGGTGCTGTGGCTATTCTAAACTTGTTTGGAAGTATTCCTCTCCACACCTGTAAACTGTACATTTCTCTATGATTATTCCTTTCGTTTATCCGGGCGTGTCTCTTAAACCTGTTTCTTGGGTAGCTCTTCTTTCATGCCAGTCACATTTACATCAAGCCATCTCTGCACCCAACTGGTGACACCCCTGATGACGAAAAAATAGGGTGATAAAGTGACTGAACAGAGATAGTAAGTAGCTTTAAGTTAGGTCCACTGGAGGTCAGGTTACGTGTTTATTCCCAGTGGAAACAAAGGTGAACTGTCACTCAGCAAGAAAACCTAACAGCTTGCTTGCTGGCTTGCATTTCAGAAAGCAGCTCCTAGAGTTTTGAATCATTGTGAGACATTGATTTTCCAGGCCCAGATTTCGAAGGGGTTGGGGATACACACATCAGTGCATAGGGATCATCTGCTAGGTATTTGTTTGCAAGGTGAGTCGTGTTTACATACCTGGTTACCCAGTAATAAAGACTGCCGTTTCTGCTTTCCTTCACCTCATAGATTTTTGCGTCTGTGTGAAAAGTCAATAACGTGCAAGTGTTTCAAGTTACAGTTCAGAGATTAGAAAGGCAGTTCTATTGTCTTTTAACTTCTCTTACTTTTATTCTGCAATGTGGGCACCTGCCCAAGCAGAGAGAAGACGTACAGGATCCTGTCTTTCATTTTCAGCCCTTAAAAATTACATTGTATTCTTATTTTGAAAAACCAGCACGTCGGAGGGCTAGCGTTAGCTGTTGTAGACCCTTTCTCCCCCTCCCCCCACTTTAAAGGGGATGTGTAACTAATCGGGCAGCTCTCCCACAGCTACTCCACTAACCGTCCAGGACGTTGACCTTTGCCGGATCTGCTTTTATAAGCACGATCCACACTATGTCTTTTAAAAATACCGACAGCGCGGCTCTTACCTCGTCAAGCTGGCCCACTGTCTCGCCGTTAACGGGCTCCTTTTCTCTGTGTTCCTCCTTTCTTTTTTCTTTTTTGCTACTTCCTTTTTTAACATACTTTTAGGCTCAAAGACTTACATCTCTCTGATAAGCACAGTTTGATTCGTAGCTCATTGCAGCAACTGATTTTCATAATTTATGAGTGTCATTGTCAGAATCTATTTGGAAGTCTGGCCAAGATGAAGCCGATTCCAGCTTCTGATATGACCACAGCAACAAAGCGACTAACCACACGTGTTCAAGTGCTCGCAGGCCGAGAGGGTGCTGACAGCTCCGCAACCAAATATTTACTGTGTTTGTGCACTACGTTTGCTTTCTAGAAAATTCAACATGTTGTTTCATCACAAGTGATATCTAATACCTTAATATACAGGAGTGGGCAAAAGTAGGTTTATAGTCACAAGTATGCAAAACACAAGGGTTTATTCTTGTATTACTATTTATTAATTATTGCATTATTTACTCGTATCAGAACTGTAAACCTCCTTGGGCCAAACCCTGGATAATCTGTTTCTCACAGCAGCCAATTAACTTTAAAATGTCTGTAGTTTTAAGGAAAAGAAGTGGGAAGGTGAAATCTGTGAGTTGCATAAGTTCTTAATATTCTGAAAAGGTTGGTATCAAGGTGGCAGCATTTAGACTGGTCTTCATACACCATGATTCTTGCCCTGGATTTTGATTCCGGGCGGCACCTAAAGCCGCAGCTCTCCCATGCGGACAGAGGAAAGGGAGAGCCACAGGGGCAGGCGCCCGCGAGCAGCCACGCCCCTCTGTCCTCTCATCCATCCTGCCATAAACGTCTGCGAAATCTGAAAAATAAACCCAGAATTGGAAACATTAATCACAGCCGTCATTTGGAAGTGTCCCCAAGTTTAAACACTTTCGCTTTAACTTATGGCAGTGTCCCGAATTTTATTATGCTCCATTTATTAGTACAGGCCTGCCTGCAGAGTTCACAGCCATTTATTTGGCAGGGGACTTGATGTTATCATTCATTTTTAAGTACCTAGGACTCCCTGTATATTTTTAGAGTGCCCTTCACTTGCAAGAATTGGTCCACTCGAACCAGTACAGATGTTTCCAGGTGTTTATTAACACAAAAAGTCAGATGGCTGCAAATTTCCAAGACGTACCCCAAAATTTGGTATATGTACATGCAAGTATACAGTGTATGTTTGTACTGGTCGTTAAGCTGAGAAGATGGACTGAAAACTGACCGAGCTCCTGGTGCTGCTTAATCTTGAGGGAAGTCTTTTCTCTCCCAAGGTCGTGACCTCTGGGTGGGAAAATCCTATCGTTTGAGACTAGAGCCAGGACACAGGAAATGATTCTGACGGTTTCCACAGCTTCCTAAGTGTGCTGCCCTAACTTCTGTCACTGAAGGCTGACCCTTTCTGGGACTGAGTTTTCCTGGCCTGCATCGCGCAGGCGTCCATCCCTCTGGAGGCGCTTATGGGTGGAAAGGTAGACAAAGGCGCTCTAAGCTGCCATGTGTGGGGAGCCAGGGGTGGCGCCCCCTACCTCCGACCCCAGTGATTCCACCCACTTGACCTTGGTCACGCGGTGCTAACGTAAACACCTGGAGCTGATAGCAGAGAAACCCGAATGCTTGAGTGTGTACTTTATGGAGAGTTTGTTTAAAAACAAAAGCAAAACTGGAACACTAAAGCTAAACGTATCCTCACTAGCTGTTGTCTTTTTTCCCCCCTAATTAGGACAGAATTTCACCCTAAGGCAGTTAGGAGTGTGCGAACCCGCCACTCGAAGAGGCCTGGCATTTTGTGCGGAGATGGGGCTGCCCCCCAGAGGGTACTCTCTCAGTGCAGGGTCGGACGCGGACACGGAGAACGAGGCCGTGATGTCGCCAGAGCACGCCATGAGACTCTGGGGCCGCGGCGTCAAGTCCGGCCGCAGCTCCTGCTTGTCCAGCCGCTCCAACTCGGCCCTCACCCTGACCGACACGGAGCACGAGAACAAGTCGGACAGCGACAACGGTGAGTGTCCCCCCCGGCTGCAGTCCGGCAGCAGACGTCGGCACCCCTGTCTCCATGGACCCCGGGGCCTCGGCCGTCTTTATCTCTGCTTCCCTTCCGTCCTTCCTTTCCTTTGCTCCTTCCGCCTTTCTTTTTGTCTCAACACAGTAAAACTCGAGAAATGACCTTGAATAATGTGTTTTCCCCCCAGAAAAAAAAATCAATATTCAAAATGAGAATGTTCAATTATGCAAGCTGTCTATGATGTGTTAGCTATAGTTTTCAAAAAGTTTCATCATGTATGGGGGGAAAAAAAGATTTGCTTTGACTTATCTTGGACCATGTCACCTATTATCCTCTGTGGAGCCTCAAAGCCAGTGGTGATAAAGTTTACCCCAGAGCCAGCTGGCAATCAAAGATGTCTTTGGAGATGCCTCTTGAAGATATCTCAAAGAAGTCGCAGAATCTTAGAATGGACGAGTGAGCACACAGAATAGTTGATTAACAGGGCTCAAGCGATTGAAGAACAAATTTGATCATGCTTTAAACTCACGAATTGGTGAGAGCAATTGAAATCTTGGCGAAGAGGGGGAGTGTGGCCTTTGATGTGCTTTGGGGACTGGATTACTGTGCAATTAAATCCACACACCAAATTGGATTTGGGGTTATCCAAGTAGCAGCTGCACATATCGTAAGAAAAAATGTCTTTATAAATCATTAGGATCTTTTTTTTTATTGCTCCATGTAGGATAATAAGAATAGTCAATTTATACACAATAATGGGTTTTAATGAAAATTCGATTTTTAGTCGGTGCTGCTTCTAGGAAGAATTGGGGCATCAGCACCAATGGCCTGGGCAATAGAAAAATATTTCTCCTTCCTTCAGCAGTTAATATTCACAGTGTACTCACCACTTCGGTCTAGTTATTAGTGTTGTGTATGGGATGCATGGAAAAGCAAAGCGAAAATCAAAATGAGAGAATTGGATGACATTTGAAAAGAAAGAGTGTTGTTTCACCGATGATATTTCATTTTCATTGTTTCCTGAGAAAATGCATCTGCTCTGAGTTGTAACAGGGAAGCAGGTCTATCGTCAGGTTTTGGTTGCAGCTGCGTCACAGTCCGAAGTCGCACCGAGTGCTTCTCACTGTTCGGTATCTTCTCCCTCCCAGTCATGAGAAAAAAGCCTGATTCGAACCGGCTAAAACAGTGTCTCCATGGGATGCTTCAGTGCATTCAACCAAAGTCAAAAATCAATTAATCGTGTGCACTCCATATATTCATTTTGGAAATGCCAGTGTTGGGTGGAGACTGGCTGGATTCCAACACCAAACAGAGCACGGGCAGTGCCTTCTGACCAAACGAGTCTTTGCGCTGGCCGTGAGGGCGTGCGATCTGGCAGAAACTGAGTTTCCTGTCCGTCTGCCGCTTCATATTCCAGCCCCGGGGCAACTGCAGACAAAGTGGTTATATTCACGTGTAGCGTTTGGCATTGGGCTGTTTTTTAATCCGTGGTAACATCTGTGATGGTTGTGGAAAAAAGAGGAGAGTGCAGGAGGATAATGCGTTCAGCGCTGCTTGTCTGCGTCTCGGACCGTCCGTAGCCATATCCGCTACGTAATTTTTCACGTTGGGTTAGCGTGTCCTTTCTGCCCATAGCCTCTGTAGCCTCTCTCTCCTCTCTCTCTTCCTCCCTCTCTCCCTCTCTCTCTCTCTCTCTCTCTCTCCTGGAGTGTCCCTCGTTATGGTGTCTGTCTTGGTAAAATACAAATTAACTTTATCATTTTTAAAAATTACGTATCTGCTAAACAATCTCACAATGAATTCCCAAACACATGCCGTATTTTTTTCTTTGCGGCAAATGTAAGACTGCCCACTGTGCAACCTCTAGTTAGCAGCGTGTGATACCCAGCGACTGGGGGAAGAGGAGGAGGACTTGTGAGCTTCTCACACCCCCGCCCTCCCCGTGCGCACGGATCCGTGTCCGCTCGAGGAGGAGCTCCTGTGCCTGGGAATCTCAGCGACCTCGCTCTCAGGGCGACGCCAAGGCAAGGAAAGGCAGACTCTTTCATTTCTTCAGGATGTTAGGGGGCTCAGTGAGGAGACAGACAGGAAGAGAGAGCCAAGGGCCTCGCCTTGAAATTCAGAACGTGAGGCAGCATTTGTCGGGAGTGAACAGGTCAGCTGAGTTAAGAGTATAAAGTGTCAAAAGCAATGTTTGTTGAGCTGGGCAAGTGATAACTTAAACCCGTGTTTACTCTTTACACAAGGTTTGGCCGGGGTTGTTTCTAAAACATTTTGATGGTCTAAGAACTCCAAACGGTATCAGCTTAAGGAAGCAAATGTGAAGGAAATAAAGGAGATGTGACCACTTCCCGCACGCTGGCTATTTCACAGGCTTCGCGTGTACACAGGGACATTTCGGATTAATTTCTTCGTTCTGAGGTTGCAGTGATTAGTCAGAAGGAACAAGGTTCCATTTAAAGGAATTAATTCCATTAAGATCTGGGGAAGCATAATTTTCTGAGGTATATAGCAGGCCTGATCATTTTAAATTGTGGAATTAAACAAGAGTATTTAGGATTTTTTTCTGATGTAAAAAAATACTTTTTTCCCCCTTAAGCTGGGTTATGGTAAAAACAAAAAGTTGTAATCATACATATGGGTCTCCTAACATCTTTATAAACAGTTCCCTCCGAACTGTTACATATTTTAGTCTCACTACTTCCAGTCAAATATTTCTAACATGAAATTACTGTAAGCAGTTCAAGTCTATCCTTCTCAGGTATTTTCATCGCTTGAGCTTTGAAAGGCTATTCATTTCCCAGTCATATTTTCCTTTGACTTGCAGTTATTGCAACTGTTTCACTTCATTCGCGTTTGTGTGACCTTGAGGGATATCACCGGAAGTTGGGACCAAAAGGCCGTGTGGAACGTGCTGGAATGAAGCTAATGTAGAAGGCAGACACGGGCTTGTGTTCACCCCCTGCGGCACGGGGGTTTTCTTTGGCTGCTTCCATCATTTGAAATAACAGTGAAGACGGCTGTTTGCCCCAGAAAAAAAAAATGTTATTCAACATTGGTAAAATTATGCAAGCCGGGTGCCGATGTTCTAGTTATAACTTCAAAGAAGAGTTTAGTCACCAAAAGGGATTAGATTTCACTTATTTATTGATAAAGGGGCCAACAGTTCAAGTTAAGAAGGCGCTAGAACCGCTGTGAGGCTAATGAAATTTTGATGGTCTGAGCATCCCACGGGAGTAAAAGAACATTCCGACCATGTCACATGTCGCCGTGTGAGCAGAGATTCAAAACAAGTGATAAAACTTATTATTTTGCAAAACTAACTCTTTACCAACCATGGGGATTTGAAATTAAAAAGAATGTTGAGGGGGAAAAATGTTATAGTATATTGAGTTTCATACGGAATGCCAAATGTTAATTTTGTTCCAAATTAAGGGGATGAAGTAGTCCTTTCTGGACACATATTGATTGCCGTGGTTTTCGCCACTGCCCGGAGTCAGCTGCCCTGCCCCGGGCAAATGCCAGAGGGCCAGTGGGTCGTGATCACCCAGGAGCAGCAGTGCTAGTAAGCTGTTGAGAGGTTACCAAGTCAGTGATGGAGTGCCCTAATTAATCAGAGGTAAAATTACCGGTATCCTTTGGATTTGTAGGTCTCTTTCCTTCTCTGGTGTAGTGCAAAAAGATGCTCAACTGATTTCCCACTATTCAGCTTTGCAAAGATTTTGATCTCAATTGCAATTATCTACATAAATGTCAGGGACAAAGCCCTGTTTTTCAAAAACATCAACCGTTCAGCTTTAAACATGTTAGTTTGTGCATCTTTTCCCAGGAGAATCCAAGCATATATTTTTGTCCTTTGTCGCCCAGTGGTATGGTGTCAGGCAGGGTGCCTGGGTTTGGATCCTGCCACCTAGGGTTTAGGCCTTTTCACTCCACCCCTACGACTCTTTGTTTCTGAATCACCCCAAGTTCAAGTTCCCAAGTTTTCCATCTCAGTCTAGCTGAACTGCTCGTTCCAGAGATGTGTGCTATCCCACTGGAGTCCTCCCCCTTCCTCTTCCTCCCCCCTGTCACCACAGCCTCTTCCACACAGTGGGAGAGATGACCTGGGAGGTCAGACGGACCGGGGGAGCTGGCACTCCTCTCACGCCTCATCGTGATTCGGGACCTGGACGGCCCCCACGGAGGGCAGTAGTTGAGAGCGTGTTGTAGCAGGCAGACCCCCTGGATTTGAACTGGGTCCCACGTCCCAGCTCTGTGACCTCGGGCAAGTTCCTTGACCTTCCCGTGCTGTAGCTATAGTCTCCTTCCAGTATTGGGTCCTTACAGGTCGTCGTGAGGACTCATTGAGTTTGGTTGTGTCACGTGCTTAGAACAGTGCCTGGCATCTGATGGATTCCAAATTAAGTGCGTGCTCCTACTATTTATAAGAGCTGGGCATACGTAAAGGACCCACGGACAAGAACAACAGGGGGGATGCGGATTAAATGTGGGACGGGGGTGGGCAGGGCAGGGGAGAGTAACGGGGGGGGCAAATGGGGACAATGATAATTGAACAACAGTGAAGAAATAAAGCCCAAAGGTCAGGGGAAAAAGAGGTGAAAAGTTATTTTTATATCTCCTTCCTAAATAATTACAAGGATTAAGTTAGATCAACAATATCAAGGACAGCACCTACACAGTTTCGGCCCGCAGGAAATGTCCCTCCCCTCCTCCACCTCTTCTGTGCGCTCCCTCTGCACTCGTGACGTGGGCGCACCTTTGGGAAGGTGAAGGGGAAATTCTGGTCCCCTCCGGCACGGGCACTGACCATTTGCAGACTCTGGAATTTCTGTCGCCATGTACCGATTCTCTTATTTTCCTCCGAAACCCCACATCCTTTTTAATTTACTGTAATTAAATGAGTGTGTATTGAGTGGCACTGATAATTAGTCTGATGGCCGTGGACTTCAAAGACTTCAGCATTCTCCTTCCCCTCCTGGCCAAAGGAAATGTCA